GCCGTACATGAGAACAAGGAGTTTACAAAGAACAAAGAGTAAAACACAGAGAGCCACATGAGAGGTATATAAAACACACGAGAGTTGAGACCCCGGCCCCGCGAAAAAAAAAACCCCACAGGGGGTACAAAAAAATAAAACGTGGAGATGCTCATAGTGACAAAAAAAATAGACAAAATAAAACTAAAAAAAAGGATTGCATTGCATATGAGTCACATACAGAAAACAATAAAAAATAACAAATTAGAAAGGATCATTTTGTTTTAATACAACACTGTGGCCCCAAGGGAAAAAAATATATTTTTTTCTAGTGTGGCAGTCAATGTGCAAAAGGCAACGGTGCATCTCTTTTCTTTATCTTTAGGTTGAGATATTAATATACCCCTCAGCAGCTATTTGAACACTCACCCAAATGTCATTTTTCATGATTTCAAAGGCCATTACATTAAGGTCAGTTGTTATGCTAATTGTATAAAATGACAAATGCCAAACTTTTGTGTGGTAGGTGTTAGGAATTTAACACCAACCATGTAGGACTACTATAAGCATGCAAATTTTCTTAATTTTTGTATTAAGAAAACGATAAAAGTTGTTTTTAAAAGTAAGATTCTTTGAACCTATGGCTAAACTTTATTAACATTCTAGGGAAATGATGCAAATTCCAAATGAATACAGGAATCGGTGGAAATTCCAAGTACAAGGCAGAGGATGCATGTTCTAAATAAAATGAATTTCAGATCCCTGATACTCTCACACATGTTGTTGCAACATGTTCTGCTTTGCGTTATAATTGCTAGTAGGATTCTGCCAAGGAGTTATTAAAAGCAAATTTAACATTAAGCAATGATTTTCACATCAGCAGCTGCCTTGCAGCAAGCTTTCTGTCGTGGGCAGATGGAACTACTGCATATTTCATAATCATCATTGACTTAATAATCAGTAGGCGGCTGTTGGATTCACACTTTTCGACTTCGGTAGTTTCAAAGTCTCTAGTTTGCAATTCACTATTCATTTTGATTTGTACATTTGCATTTATTTCTCTTTTCTAAGAGTCATTGTTTAAGGAAATTTTACTTACATTTATTCTTTTTTAAATCTAAAATGTATCTTCCTGGGTTAAAATAAAAAATTTAAGAGAAGCTGAAAACTAACTCGAGATTTTTCACAGAATCTCTTTTCTTCCTTTGGCCTTTTATTTTTCTTCATTGTCATGATTTATACACACTGATTTAGGGCCAAGGGCAGACCGTGCCCAGCAGAGGCTCCAAGGGTGCTCTGGCCCGGTCTCCTCCTCACCCCGTGTCTACCTGGGGTCGTTGTCCACCTCTCCCGAAGCCCCAGCCCCCCAGGCCCTCCCGCCCACACTCCTGGGGAGCATGACACTGCGGGTGACAGGGCCGTCCAGGCTGTGCACTCATGCCCTGGGGCACCCACCGCCCCAGGCCTCTGCCTTCCCTGCCCAGTCCCGCCTGTCCCCACATCGGCGTGGCCTCAGATCGGCCTGGACAGCAGGTGACAGGGAAGTAGCCAGGTGTTCCCTGTCGGCACCCTCAGTGACACCCTGTGAGCGCTTGTTGCTTGCACAACGGATCACCCCGCAGCTCTGCTGCTCTTGGAGGGCTTGCTCTCTGGTTTCCAGGTATATTTTATCAATTATCAGCCTGTGTGTTGTGCCATGTGCTATCATTTGGATTTCAAAAATGTAATGGCTATGAGCAGAAAACATATGTTCACTACATGATCACTCTTTCTCTCCACCACCAATAAAGAAAATAAAATCTGGAGCAGAGGCATCACCAGTAATCTAACTATTCCTAGAGCACTTCATCATCAAAAACAGCACTCTGCCAGCTTCACTTTTCCCAGGCCACAATCTGGGTTTCTATTGAGTTTCCAGGCAAATGTAAGTTTGCATCAGGCAAACTTCTTTTCCTCTTTTCTCCTCGTCAGCGCCTCCACAAGCTCCAAAGAGCTCTCTTCCCACCTTTCTGCAAACCAATGTGGAATAACAACACCTTCCCCCCCAGTGACTCTTTCTAACAGCCTCAACCTTGCTAAGTAGAAACCTCAGTGGCAGGAGAACAGAGTAATTGCCTGATGTTCACATCTAAGGCAGAGCAGACCATTCCTAGCACCAAGCATGTCTTTTTCCACATGCCCAAGGGATCTAGGCCCTTGTGTCCCCGGAGCTGGCTTCCATCCTCAAGCCTTTGTGCAATGACAGCCACCACACGGTTCCACTTTACGTACTGTTCTGTGTGTGTGTGTGTGTGTGTGTGTGTGTGTGTGTGGTGTTGTGGAGAGTGCTCATGTACACCCACTTATTTTTCAGCAGAATCCAGATATTATACAGTGATACACACTAATGCCTATACTGCAGATCATTTTATGGCTGATTTGGTCTCAGAGGAACATGTTTTGGTGAACAGAGTTTGCTCAGGACTTAAATTGCTCTAACTGTTTAAGGTTTTAAGTGTTCCTGCTCCAAGAAAGAGAAGCTTGCTAAGAAAACAAGCATTACAATTGGTTGACAAAACCCCAACGGAAATAGTTATGAAAGGTCATGTAAACAAGGCTCATGTTTTTGTGGGACTTTTTAAAATCCAAAATGTCTATAGATAGTAAAATAATCCTGGTGGTGATACAGCAACATTGCGAAGTTTTGTATAAAAGTCTGTTTAATGTAAAAGAGATTAAATTAACTCATGCTGAAAAGCCCATTAAATACACACTAATCTATCACTGAAAATTCACCAAGCAGATGATTCAATCTGTTACATTTCAATTTTGAGTTTTTGCAGTCACTGAAATATACTTGGATTAATAAATAGGTATGGTAATCCGTGACCTTTGGAGTTTTTAGGGTACAGCTGACTCCTGTTTAAAGCTTCCAAAAGAGTTGGGGTTTTTTTATAGTAAGTGCTACTTGGAACAGAATGACACTTATCTTTGAGATGTGTTAACATTTTTGTTGTTGCTGTTATTGCTGTGACTTTTGTAAAGAATTCATCTAAAGCTATAAAATGTTGGCACAAAAGAGAAACCACATTTTCTGAAGGTCTACAATGTCTTGGGCACTTTGCCACGGAGAGCTCTAACTTTCACATCAGTTTTCAACACAGGCATTATCATCTTGATTTTACAAATGTGAAACTAAGAGTCCTAAGTAGTTTCTCTATGCTTATGCTCATAAATTAGTGGTCCCCAACCTTTTTGGTACCAGGGACTGGTTTCATGGAAGACTGTTTTTCCATGGCCAGGGGGTGGGGGTGGGAGAGGAGATGGTTTTGGGACGATTCAAGTGCATGACATTTATTGTACAGTCAAACCTCTCCGCTAACGATAATCCGTATCTGCAGCCGCTCCCCAGTGCTAGCATCACCGCCTCAGCTCCACCTTAGATCATCAGGCATTGGATTCTCATAAGAAGCCACAACCTAGATCCCTCGCATGCGCAGTTTACAGTAGGACTCATGCTCCTATGAGAATCTAATGCCACCGCTGATCGGGCAGGAGGCGGAGCTTATGCAGTGATGGGAGCCATGGGGAGCAGCTGTAAATACAGATGAAACTTTGCTCCCTCCCCGCCACTCACCTCCTGCTGTGCAGCCCAGTTCCTAACCGGCTGCAGACCAGTACTGGCACAGCCCAGGGGTTGGGGACCACAGTCATAAATGACTGCATTTATATTCAAACTTAGACCCAACGTGCAAATTCCTTCCCACCTCAAAGCTGTTGCTTCTGTGGTTCATAGTTTTATAACACTCTTATCCAGGGTCCAGGAGCCCTTTCTGATCCCAGTGCCTTCTCATAGTCAGGTCTCTCTTCACACCCTGCCCTAGTGCCTTATTTCTTTCCTATGTAGCATTTAAGATATTTATTTACTTGGTTGCTTGTCTAGTTGGCTAGTTTTTTGCCTATCCCCTCCTCTAAAGTGTCAACTCTATAAGGACAGGGACTGTACTTAAGTTATTCACTTTGATATTGGCAATGCTTAGCACAAGCCTAACATACAAAAGGCAATTCGATAAATACTAGGTGACTCTAAACGACTCCTAGCTTTTTTCACTTGCTATGTGGCCTCTCACGGACCATTAGTTCTATTGAAAATTGTTTTGTTCATTAATTCCCAAAGTAAAAAAAAATATTAAAAATAAAGTAATAAGAATAAAATGTCCTGATTGGATACTTTAGCCCCATTTTATTGTTTCTCATATAAATTTTTCTGATTTCTTGCATCACTTGAAAATCAAGATATTTTAACAGACCCCCCCCAAAAAAAAAATCAACCCAGAACAACTAGAGAATAGACACTCCCTACAGAGCTATGTGTTTTGTGGTGGGTCCAGGGTTCTGTGTGTCCATACCACTATTTTTTATCTTCTCCATGACAGAGTTGGAGAACTATATGAATGTATGCTACAGATATATGGAGGGAACATTTTGCTATTCTTGGTCAACTAACATAAGTTAGGCATTGTTCTCTATCTGGAGATTCAAAGTACCAATAGGATACAATCCCTGTCATTAATGAACTCACAGTGATGTAAATCAGCTTATGTTAATTTCCATGTTTCCACCTACTAAATAAAATTAACAGTGACAGCCACAGAGATACAGAGCTTAGGGTATGGAGGGCAGAGGAAAGAGTAAATAGCAAAAGGGTTGCAAGTCTTTGTTTATTTCTTTTTTATTATTATTAGCTGCAGTGCAGTGTATGTGCTGTAGTTGACCTTACAGCACTCGATTTGGGAGAATTTGCCATTTGTTTCTCATTGTTTCCGTTGCTGGTTGACTAGTCATAGTCTAACTTTACTTAAAGCCCAAGGGAAGTTTAAAAAGCATATTTCATTTCCCACTCCATTAACAGTAGGGGAAAGTTATGGGAAAGTGGATGTAATAACATTTGTTGCCAAAGGTACAAAAGACCATAAAACATGAGCATACCCAGGTGGAAGCTACACACACACACGTATGATCCCACCATAGATCAAGTACCATTTTGCATTGGAAATGCAATTTAATTAAATTTGCTCGGCTTAGGACAAATTTTACTGAAACAGTTTTTCTGTCTAGAGTGAGTGATTTCAAGTCTAGACTGATTTTTGTGTACTGTTCTCTTATATAGCACATTGTGCATTCTTAAGACAAATGAAACAGAGATAGAGGAGCATTTGCAAGGGTTCCAGCTTCCTGAATTTTGTGGTCACAGTAACTTCCCATTGCAATTATATCTTCAAGCATGTTGTCTCCAAATATAAAGACCAATAATGGGAAAATGGCATTTACCATCTATAGATGCACACTGATTACAACCACATAGCCTTAAAGAGATATTTCCTAACGCTTTCTTTCGTTTAGTCATTTTTTTCTTCTTTCATTTTTTCCTTTTTTTTTTTTTTGTTTTCCTTTTGTTTTAAATTTTTGGTCTATATGAAAAATGTGTTGAACTATTTTTAAAGTGAGAAATCCAAGGCAGATTTGTCTGGAGATTCCTTCTTGAGGCAGCTCCACCTAACACGCCGACCGCCACACTCCACGGCTTCTCCACCCTGGCTTGCTGAACCGCCCGCAGATTCAGTGCGTACTCGTGATTTTCTCCAACTTCTTATAATGCTCCGACATTTCAGTCCTGTGGAAAGCGTTCAGAGGCGATGTTGATAGCTGCATGGACCACCCAGGAAGACCCCATCCCATTATCATGTGTTTGAAATTTAAAAAGCACAAATGAGTGTCTATGTGTTCTTGCCTGCACCTTTGCATTAAAAGGCATTGTTTTAGAGTCAGGAGCCCCTCAGGATTTTCTTAGGAACTCAGGTTACTTACCTGCGGTCATCTGTCTGTCCTTTTCCACCCCACCCCCATCCTTTCCTTTCCTTTCTCTCCATTTCCTGTTTGAATATATATTCAACTGGAAATATATATATTGAATTATATAATAATTCAAAATATTATATTTTCTACTCAGAAAAAAATTTGGAGTTTTTGTTCTGTTTTGGTTTCGGCAACTCTAGATTGTTCCCTTGGTGTTATTATTTTATGATGTCTCCTTCTGATTTATGTTGTAATAATTGTTATCTTTCTAGCCTTACCTTAGTAACCATTTACCTCTTTAAACTTTATCTTCTTCCTTTTATTCTCCTTTAAAATATTTTTACCCTTAAAATTTGATATGTATTTATTTTTCCCTTTAACTTATTCTTTCCTAATCTCTGTTATTCATCTTTGGTTTATCAACATTTACATTTTTAATTTCTTTTTTTCCCCACGTCACTACCGTGCTTCCTGCCCTGGAAGGCAGAACCCTCAGGTGTCCCATGTTTTCCACCTTCCCATCGTGAGCAAAGAAATTCGTAAGTTTTTAAATTTTAAGTCATCTAGAATTTTAAAGTCAGAGAGTATGATTATAAATTTTGTAAGTAAAGTCTACCAGAATTACACTAATTAGAGTGTGCCATTGCTTACCACAGGGACCCTGGCTAATACATCTTCTATGTCCAAAAATATCTTTCTTTCATCCTCCCATTAGTTGGACAATTTGGCTAGTTTTAAAAGTCTAACTTTAAGGAAACCAAAGTTGTTTTGTTTTTTTTTTCCAGCCCTTTGCAGGTAACATGACATTGTTATGATCCTTACGTTGCTGTCAAGATGACCCATATCATCAGACTGTCATTCATTGCAAGTGATCTGTCTTCCTTAAGAAGCTTTTAGGACTTTTCATCTTTCATGGTCTACATTTTCTACTATGTGACTAGGAGGGTGTGTATGTGTATGCTTTTAGTACAGCTTGCCCAGGATTGGGGATTTCTTTATATAGGGAACCATAGCTTAATTTCTAGAAATTCTTTTTTAACCCAAAATATCACCCCCATTCTTTCTATTTTCTCCATTTAGCACTCATTTTGATGAATGTTAGAAATTCTAATGCTATTATCCATATCTCAGCTTTTATATTTTTGCTGATTTATCCCCATTTGCTATGTGTTATGTCATTTCTCACATTTCTCACTCTTGATTTTCTTCTTCAACTGTTTTTTGTGTTGTTCTTCTGGAAATGGAACGCAATTTTAATGTTAATAATTATATCCTATTTTTCATGTTCAAATTCTTTATTTTTTCCCATTACTATTGCTTTTTTGAGGGTTTCACTCTGTCGCTAGAGAACAGTAGTGTCATCATAGCTCACTGGAGCCTCACACTCCTGGGCTTAAGTGATCCTCCTGGCTCAGCCTCCCAACTAGCTATAGGCATGTGTCATCACTCCCACCTAATATTCCTATTTTTAGTAGAGATGGTGTCTCATTCTTGCTCAGGCTGGTCTTGACCTCCTGGGCTCAAGCGAACCTCCAGCCTCGGCCTCTCAGAGTGCTAGGATTACAGGCATGAGCCACCACGCCCAGCCTCCCATTACTATTTAGTCTTATTTCATAAATCCTTGATCTTATTTCGTAGTTGTGATAGCTTTACCCATAACTCTAAAGACATAGTGATATTTATTTGCATTCCCTGCATTGATATTTCCGATGTCTGTTTCCTTGCTGGATTTTCTTTTGTTGAGTACCTTGTGATCTTGTTGGGTTCCTTGTGAGTTCATGTGACCAGGCAGGGTACCCCATGGTCTTTTGGAGCTGGCTGTCTCTGTGCCTTCAGGGCATTTCTAGTAACCAAAAACAAGACCTTTTCTTTTCTTTTCTTTTTTTTTTACTTAATGATATATCATGAACTGCTTTCCTTCCATATCTATCTCTCTTTTCTTCTCTACTTGAGTTTTTATTCACATTGCTCTGGCCTAAAAGCAGATATGTGATGTTACCTGATGAGGGGAATGGAAGGCTAGGGACAAAGATCCTATCTTAGTCCATTTGGGCTAATAGAGCAAAACACCATAAACTGAGTAGCTTATCAACAATAGAAACTATTTCTCACAGTTCTGGAGGCTGAGAAGTCCAAGATCAAGGCGATAGCCGATTCAGTATCTGGTGAAGGCCTATTTCCTGGTTCGTGGTTGGCTCCTTCTAGCTGTGTCCTCCCATGGTAGAGGGGTAAGAGGTCTCTCTTAGGTCTCTTTTTAAAGGTGCTAATCACATTCATGAGGGCTCTGTCCCCATGACCTAATCATCTCCTAAAAGTCCCACCTCCTAAGAGCATCACCTTGGAGGTAAGGATTTCAACATATGAATTTTAGGAGGATATAAACATTCAGACCACAGGAGGCGCCGAGCTTGACCTGCCTGACTATTCCACTGCAGCATCCCTGAGCACATGCCCTGGCAGATGTCTGTTAGAGTCATCTGCATGAAGAGCACTCTCTCCAGACAAAATTTTTCCACTGATCCATGTGAACCAGCAGCTGGACCCTACACCAAAGCATGTGACTAAAAAATAACACCTCTGAATCTGTGAGTGGTGGGACCAGAATCTACTTCTATTCACATGGGGGTGTAGGTATGTGCACGTACCATGATATATTTGTTTACACAGAGAAAAAATATCCAAGCTTTCAACAATGGGTACCCCTGCAGAATAAAAGTTTGGTATCTTATTTTTTTTTATTTTATATATTCATAGTATTTGAATGTTTATGCACATGTACCATATATAAATTTAAAACAATTATTAAATTTAAATAAATATAATTTATACAATGAATACAGAATTCATTACTTCTTCTGAACACTCTAAAACTCTACAGACCAGTAGGAGTCTGCACCGGAACTGTACCATTCTAGCCTCATCTGGTATAAATTTTAAATAAATTCTTATTTGTCCTTAAACCTTATTAAGGGACATTCTAAAACATTTCTCTGTAAAATTTATTATCTTATTTATCCTACAGATGTTGTTAAGAAAACAAATCATTACACTTTAACCTGGTATTTTAGTACTAGAATTATTGTACAGGTCTCCTGAGCAGTGGCCTGGTTTATATCTTAATGAGTTTGTGAATCTTGAAACTAATTATATTTCCCTCTTCACACTGGCTGCTAGAAAGCTCTGAGCCAGATAGCCAGCCCACTTTTAGCAAGTAGATAAAATCTTGCGGCAAATGTTACATTCTCTCACTCCTTGCTTCATCTTGTTTTTTCCATAATATCTCTCTTTACTTCAGTGCCTTCACTTATTTGTTTTTATTTTCTGTGTTTTGATAAGTTGCCTGAAATCCTTTTTAAAACAAAGCAGGGTATAAATAACTAAAATCATAAATATGCAAAGCAAACAGTTCCAGGACACTGTGACATTTCCATTTATGACCTAAATATTACTGTGAGTCCTAATACCCATAATACTTTCATTTCCCCTCTATAGCCCTAGGGAAGGCATTTATTCTCAATATACTGTTGAGTCTATTAAGCATCTAAGGATTCTTTAAAAGAAATATTGGCCAGGGAAGAGGGAAAAAATTATCATAATTTTGTATGTGTCCCTAGATGAGAAGTTTCCTCAAGAGAAAAGGCTATATTTATCACATTTTTAATAAACAATATGGAAGTTTAAGTTGTCATTTGCATTTTCCATTACTAAGATCCCAAACTAGATCATCATCCATTTAGAGTTATTAAATTCATTCTTTTTATGTTCTTGCTAGTGAGTCTGCTGACATGCAGGAAAGAATTAAAAGTTGTGTAAGTAAAAAGTGACGACTATCGTTTTATTGCAAGTACGCTGCCAGAGATAAATCTAAAATACTTCTTTCAATCTCTTGTCTAATTAAAACAGGAGGGCTCCTGGCAAACTGTGTCATGACAAAAATTCCACTAGACTAGCTGAGCCTACAAATGAACAAAGAAGGCAGAAAAGAAAACTCTAATCAAACTAGGAATAGTCACAATCCCCAACTGTGAACCGTGACGAATACCTGCAAATGCAGAGAGCATGCGAAGTACCAACACATCCCCCTCCAAAGCTCCCGTAGGGAGTGTAGCTGGGTAAGTGACAGAGCCCTGGAAGCTTCAGCAACATAGACTTGTCCAGGTGCCCAGTTCCATCCATGCAGAATGGTGGAAAAGACCAAAGAAGAAACTGCTCATACACACCACCTTTTTCTTCCCCGGACCTAACTTCCTACCCAGCAGGGGCAGTGGGAATGAGGCAAAGACGTGTAATCACTTTTGTCGTAGATACCAGACTCAGTTAATAACATATGAAAACAAAACAAATTTTTGATTTGGAAAACCATTGCTATATAGCATTTCACTGTTCATATGTTCAAGTGTGGGACAACATGCCCCAAAGCATAAGACACAGCAAAGATGTGAGAAACGTGTTGAGAAAATACTCACAAATGGACGCTGGCAACTGCCCTAAATCATGCTCCATTTCCATACACACGTTTTGAGTAACTAGCACACACGTTCAACACAAAGCAACAGAAAGAAACCAGAACAAGACCTAAACGTAGACACAACAAAAATTAGGAAAAAGATAAAAACGCACAAGACTATGTAAAAAACCAGATGAAGAATATGTTAGACTGGTTTTTCTTAACTTTTAAAACATCACTTTATGGTAGGAAAATTGACATATAAAAAGCTGCACATATTTAAAATATACAACTCAATGGGTTTGGAGATAAGTGTACACCCATGAAAAAAATGACCACGATCAGGGCCATAAAAATAGCTGTCACCACCC